CAATAGCATTATGTCTAAAAAATGTATATACCTTAATTTAAAAATATCTTATTGCTAAAAGATGCTAGCCATCATCTGAGCCTTCAGCAAGTTGTAGCAGTGACGGGAAAGATAACTGAACACACATCACCATAACAAAAAGAATAACCATTTCAAAAGTTTGAAATATTGCAAGAATTACCAAAATGTGACACAGTAAAGGGGAGAACAACAAAACGAGGTACACCTGCATAACAGTGTGAAAGTACAAAGTGTCCAGCATGATTTGATAATATATATATTGTGAAATGATTACCACAATAAACTTTTTAACATCTATCATCTCATATAGTTACCCCCCACTTTTTCTTCTTATTATCAGAATATTTAAGACCTAAACTATTAGCAACTTTCCAGTGCAGTCATCCTTTGATATGCGAGGAAGACTGGTTCCAGATCCCCACCCCCTTTCCCTGAAATAAAAATCTAAACGCTCAATTCCCTTGTATAATGCAGCACAGTACAGCTGGCCCTTCGGATCCAGGGATGCGGAACTGCCAAATACAGAGTGTCAGCGGCATACAATACAGCATTCTAATTATAGTCACTATGTACACTATATCCTAGTACTTGTTTATCTGATAACTAGAAGTTTGTACCTTTTGGCCACTGTCCCCTAATTATTTCACTACTTCTCAGCTCCCACCTGTGGCAACCAGACATCTGATTTCTTTTTCTATGAGTGTGGATATTTGGATTGCATATATAAGTGAGGTCACACAGTATTTGTCTCTGTATGATTCACGTAGCAAAATGTCTTCAAGGTCCATAAGCATTGTTGCAAATGGCAGGATTTCCTTTATTTTCATGGCTGTATCGTATTCCACTGCATGTATAACATCATATTTTCTTTATCCACTCATCCATCAATGGACACTTAGGTTGTTTCCATGTCTCAGTTATTATAAATAATGCTGCAATACACAGCAAGGTGCAGTGATGTCTTTCACACAGTGATTTCGTTTCCTTCAAATATACACCCAGGGCGGAATTACTGGCTCATATGTTGGTTCTATTTTTAATTTTTTGAGGAAACTCCATACTGTTTTCCATAGCAGCTGTTCAAATTTATGGTAGTCTTAACATTTTAACAGAATTAAAATATAAATCAAAACACAGGTTTGTGGAAAACAATGAGCGCTTTGGTACTGCTGGAGTAGGTGTTTTTTTCTGGTGGGTCCAGCACTAACCTCTGTTTCTCTACAAGTAAAAAGACAGCATCTGAGGTGAACATAATTAAGTACAGAAATAAATTCCAGAAGCCCATTTAGAAATGGACAAGTAAAAAATGTATTTATAGTAGTATGAGTCACAAAATTAGGAAATTAATGATTAAATAAATAAATGATTCCTTAAAAGTAATTTCAAATGTTCAACCAGTCTAACTCTAGAAACCCTCCCTGTATTATATTTTTGATCCCTCATAAAACAAGAAACAGAGCAGTTGCACATACTGAGTAAATATTCTCTTATTCTAGTTTAGATTGGGGAGGGGGCGGAAACACTAGAGAGAAACACACACTTTCTTAATATTGCTATTTAAAACCTGGCTCTGAGGTGAAACCTTTAAAAAGTAATGATTCCAGCTGTGTTCAAGTTCAGTAATGCTTTATTTACCTCTCACTGTCAAGGAAATGATGTGTTCTGGTAAGAGAATCTCCTAAGTGACTAAAACTCACAACGCACTTTTTTTGTAAAAACAGACATCTTTCCAAAAGCTATCAGTCAAGTCCAGCCTTGTCCAAAGAAATATAATCCAAGTCACACAGGTAATTTTGAATTTTCTAGAAGTCACATTAAAAAAAGGAAAAGAAGCAAGATTAGTTTTAATATAGCTCGCTTAACCCAGTACTCATGTACTATACATTCCTTTGTACTAAGTCTCTGAATCTGGTGTGTACTTTGCACTCAAGCTCATCTTACGTAGGATAAGCCTCGTTTGCCATCACAGAAGCCACTCAGGGCTACGGAGTCTGGAGCTGGAAAACGCAGTCCCAGTCCCTCCTCAGGAAACAGGGTGGAGTAGACAGACCACAACCAAACGTGGACCAGTCGGTTACTCAGAGTGTGCCCACCCCAGCAAGCACTTCGGGATGCCGACCCCACATCAGAGCTAACGGTGTTAATTTTGGAGATTCTGCTATTTCTCCTGGTGGGCGAGGCTTCACTGAACCACCACTGTCACAGCACTGTGCTTGTAACAGAGCCGTTTTCCTAAGGACTACTGTGGTGGGCGACTCCTCCTGAATCCTCCAAAACCACTATATTTGTCTATTTTTTGAAGTCAGTACATTTTTCTTTGTTGTAGTAAAACTCTTTTCTTTAAGTAAAATTTTAAATAGAAGTCCAATATTTGACAAAGATAAATAAGTATTAATATAAACTGAATGAAACATCTGATATAACAGAAAAGCTATTCGAAGATGATTAAAATGTGAGTGTGAATGACTAATTCCAGTTATGTTATTACCTTCAGCATTCATTAAGTTATCTTCAGATGTTTACAGACACTTTGAAGTTCATGTCTGTCTGAAAACTACCTTCCTAGTTGGCTTTAGCCTCAAAAGAACCCTAGGAGAACCACGCAGACACACAGGGCTAACCATTATAGACTGCCATTCTAGTTGGTATGTTTTGTCTTCCCGTTTACTCCTGTGATCAAAGACACCACTTTGCTTTTAACAAGAAATTGCCCCTCCTCTTCCTGTTGGCCTTTGTAGAATCTGCTCCCAAACTCATGACTGTAACCTAGGGTAGAGCCTTAGATTATAAGTCATGGAAACATATCTCCTCTCTTACCAGCTACACAAACACACATTCTGGCACAAAAAACTTCCAGTTCATCTCATTCAAAGACCGAAGGTGGACAGGTTTAGTGACTTAAGGCAATGCATTTCATGATTTTCAAAATCTGAGCATATTTTTAGTTGGTTTCTCTTTCATATGCTAAAAATATTCTGGTCAAGGGAAACACGTAAGTACCTTTACAGAGTTATTTACAAGGTGAAAATGAATAGCTTCACAAAATTAAAATACGAAGAGAACATTTTTCCTCCCTGCACTTAAAATGAACACATTCTGTGATTACTTACCATTGGGCTAAAAATTCCCTGAGTTTTGGACTCGCAGCTGCTAGAAGGCAGAGGAAGGCAGACAGTGTGATGAAAGGATGAGGGGACACTGCTCTACTGGCATCAAAGCCAAAGCCTGTCAGTGCACATTATTTTATATTAAATAGGGAAGGCTTGAGAAAACATCAATAATCTGGCAAAGGGAGCAGGAATCCTAGTGTCCTCTGGGGTGTTTACTGCTCACACATCTGAGCTCAGGTCATCCATATCTAAATAGTCATTGAATATTTTTCAAGAAGCAACTTTAATTTTGAAACCTTAGATCATCCAGCAGATAGAGTCTAAATTTCTATACAGTCTGTCTACCTCTGAATCCACTTAGCCTAAAGTGAATAAGGTAAAACTCTTTCACAGAACAAGATTGTATGAGGAGCAACAGTCCTGGTCCCCCACACTGTAGAATATGAGGCAATCAATACACAGAGCTTGTGTCAATTTCATTATAATACTGTCTCAGAAATCCATTTTATGATGTACATTTTCAGATGAATCTTTTGCACTGAAGACAGTTTCTTCCTGTGGCACAATTGTTTTCACCCTAGGGAAGATCTCTGTAAAACTTATTTATTATATAACCTCCTGTTTTTCTGTTGACGGATCTAAACTTTGTAAATGTGCTCTCTCAACTACTCAGAAATCTGTTACTTACTAGTTTCTGTTTAAAATTTTTGGAAGCTTTGATGAATGCTGAAGAACTTGAGAATGAAGTAGATACATGTTCAAGTTAAGCTGATCCTTTTAAGTTTTTGCCCCGTGTCATTATACATCCCATCACTTGACTAAACTTACTATTTATATTAAAGCCAAAGACTTTAGTAAGATTCATTTAAACAGACTGCTTAAAAATCACAAAATTTCTGGATCAGTCATTATTAATATAAACATTAAAATAGTTTAAAATTACAAAGAATAAAAAATATCCTGAATGGAAAAAAAGAATCTAGTTACAGTTACTAAAATACATAAATTATGCAATAATTCTAATGACCTTAGCAAACTCTTACTTATCCAGTGATGATTTAATGTGAGTAGAGAAAGGCATTCATTTATGAAAACAGTATTTACAACAAATAGTTGAAAACATTAAAGTAAACAAAAGGCATTTGTTTTTTGGAACCACACAGTTAGGGCATGCAAAACAGGACTCAAGCAGTAGCAAAAGAGAGGGCAAGGGCTAGACTCCAAGTCTGCAAGGTGTGGCAGAAGAACTGCTAAGAAAGGAGACTGGAGGGAAAAGGAAGGAGAGTGTAATGATCCCATCAGACCAACTGGGGTCCTAGTCTGTTCTCAGTTGAGAACTAACACACAGAAAACTGTAGCAGAATACTCTAACCTTGTAGCCATTTTTCATCATAATTTAAATGATGTTTAATGATCTTAAACGTTAAATGACTTTGACTATTTTTGTGACTTGGTGTGAAGTTTGTAGAAGGCCAAATCATCATAAATGGAAATCTACATCAAATCTGTTTTGTACTAAGTTTTAAAAGCAATTTTGGTTTATCCATGCCTGGCATCCTGCTTCCAGAGTTATCCCTAGAAACAGAGAAGTAACTGAATGCATTTTACAGTCTTGCAAAGAAGTTCCTAAGTAACAAAAGAAATTGGGGCGGGGGAAAATATGGACATTAAACAGTACAAAGAATATAATGAAAGAAAATTATCTTGAAAGAAGAGCAAACTAAAGCCAAGAATTACCCCACATCCTTTTAAAAAGCATACGCATAAATGGGGAGTCTTTAAAGAATCCAATTACCTTAAGCAGGTGAGACATTTCCCAGTAAGCTTGCTGGTGCATCTCACATATAAAGGACATGGCACATCAGTAAAAGCAGCTAAAAATATTTTTAGTAAATAAGTGAAATCCAAACAACATACTCATGTAAGCCTATTTAAAAAATAGTATGTAACACAGAGTACAAATGAACTGCACGAAAGTATGTTAAGAGTGAGAAGGACCAATAAATTAAAGAAACATGCTTTAATTTTCTTCCTGTCTCCGCATGAAACATTTGTACAAGCAGGCAGCAGATACCGTGATGGCGGCAACTACAAGAAACCAGGAAACAAATGACATGTAACTGCGAAATACCATCACCAAGATTCGAAATCTAGCAGAAGAGACAAATGGTGGTTAGATTTTCATGGTCAGAAAATGTTATTTTATCTAAGCACATACACGTTTATATTCTACCTGGTCTCTTCCTGATCTAAATCCAATTCCCGGGAATCATTTAAACAGCTCACAGTAAGTCAGACGAATTCTTGATTAATTTAGAAAACTACCCAAACTCTATCTGAGATGCAAACCTGTATGACTAATCATCTCGAAAAAACATGTATTATTTAGGGCTTGTTAGTAAGTGGATGTAAAAGAATGTACAGTCACCAACACAAGGTAGTGTATTATATCAAAGGTTTTCCTAAACTGGTTTACTTTATTTCACACTATAAAAATTAAGGAAGCTGAAAAAGTGACTAACAAGAAATGTGCTTCTTCAGAGTAATGTCTTGATTTAAGCGGTAGCGAAGTTTGAGATACTTACCTACAGTAAGAACAATCACAGCAATGAGTCCTACATCTGAGAAAAAAATGACCACAGTTTGAAGAAAATTGAGCCCATAGGTGTCTCCAAATAGCTATTGCATTTTAATTTGATCAGATCAGCTCTAAGTACAGCAAAGAAAAAAGATTATATCAATTTGGGTTTAGCATAGCTGCTAGTCATTCTGATCACAGAACTCAGCTAAACAGATCCCAGGGTTAGGACCCAGCTTGTGAAACTCTTAACAGAAGCCTTTCTTTTTATCATTGTATGCTCTAGCTACCACACCAAGTTATTTAGCACCTGTTACTAGGACAGTTAGATTCACTAGATTAGAAGAAAATTGTTTTAAAACATATTATCCCATTATAGTTGGTTCAGTTTTCTATTCAATTTATTTCTTATGATTTTGTTAGGAATTTAACTTATCCCCCAAAAGTATGATTGTAGAAGAAGTCATAAGAAAGCTCTATTAATCTATTACACACATGCTATTTGCAGTCTTTATAAACAATGCTTTATCTTGTCATCACCCCTCCTTATTTCCCCTCCCCTAAATTAAGAAGTACTCCTAATTACAAGGAAATTTTCTCTAACAATGTAAATGAAATACTGGGGCACATGCATAAAAATTATGCATAGAAACATACACTTGGATTTCTGACCATCTGGAGAGCAGTAAATAATATCACCAAATCTTAATTCTTAGAATATTTGTCAGTAGTACCTCTACTTCTGTTATTAGTTTTAATATCTATGACTCAGAATATAAAATGTCATGCTCATCTCTGCTTCTTTATTTCATAAATATTATCAAGTGAAAACATCTTAAGATGGCACTGAGTTTACTTGGCTCAGTGGCAGTTTGATCACAGTGTTCAGAAGGAAAACGTAGCAAGCCTAAAGTGCATTTTATAAAATACATTAACTTTACTAAAGCAGTTTGATGCAAAGAAAAGTAAGAGCTACTTTCCTTCATTTTCTTATCAAGAAATCTTTATACTTTATTTAACTGTCACATATTTACTTCATCAAGTTCTTTAACATATCTTGTGTGAACCTGCATGTGTTTGTTACAGAGAAACTAACCCAGCTAGCAGTACTTTCAGGTTTATGTCCACAAGGCACAAATAGAAAGAAAACTTATCTGCAAGTTGCCATCACAAAATAACACTATTACACAGGAAGCAAGGGAAAGTTTATATATTTTAACCTACATATGATCATAGCATTTGAAAAAGTTACCTTACCCGACTAGGGATCCTAAGTTGGGCACCTATTAAAAGCTATATTTGTCATGGGATCTGCACTATAAAAATAACTACAAATGTCAATTGTCACCAGTTTGTGACATATTGTTTCTTCTCTAAACAGGTAATTGAAATAGTTCTATGTAGAACTCTAGGATTTCATAATTCAGGGTTATTTGTAACCAACATAATACCTAAATCCTCCGAGTGTAAATCATCAGGTAGACTGGGATGTCCTGAAAAAAGAAAAAACAGAAATAAGGAAAAAAAAGGTAGAAGAAAATAATAAAGCTTTACAGACCTATAAATTTATTTGCCTTTGTACAAAACCCCTGATAATTTCATTCTCTGTAACATGAATTGTATTAGTGCCTCTCTTTAAAAGTAGTATTATAAAATATTATAAATTTATACCATGTCAAAACATTTTTCTTCTTGCCCATTAACATTTCCTGGCACAATATTCTGTGATACAGCAAGCAAGTTTATCATTAGGGTATTGTCAAAATTAGCCTATGGATTCAATGGGGTTCTACTTAAAATTAGAAGACATAGGAGGGCAAGCAGTTTAAAAGTTGATCTACAATAGAATGAAATTTCAACATAATAAAGGCCATTAATAAAAACCCATAGCTAACATCATACTCAATAGTGAAAGACTGAAAAATTTTTGTTTAGGTCAGGAATGATGTAGAATGCCCACTTTTATCACTTCTACAAAGTAAAAATATTTTTATTTATTTTTCTCGCCTATTCAGAGCAATTCATCAAGAAAAAGAACCAAGAAGCATCCAAACTGGGAAAGAAGAATAAAATGATCTCTGTTCCAGATTACATAATCTTTTAAGTGGAAAACTCTAAAGATCACACACACACATACACACAAACATGTTAGAATTAATAAATTAATTCAACAAAGTTGGAGGCAACAAAATCAACAAACAAGAATCAATTGCATTTCTTTACACAATCCATAGATAAAATTCCCCAAACTCCTCCATTTCAATAGCATCAGAAAGAATAAAATACTTAGGAATAAACATAACCAAGGAGGTGAAAGACTTGTACACTGAAAACTATAAAACATTGCTTAAAGAAATTGAAGAAGACAAAAAACAATGAAAGGACACCCTGTGTTCATAGACTGGAAGACAATATTGTTAAGATGTTAATTCCACACAAAGCAATCTACAGATTAAATGCAAATCCTATGACCATCTTGAAAATGCATTTTGCAGAAATAGACAAATTCAACCTATAATTCCTATGGAATCTCAAATGACTTAGAAGTAGCCAAGAAAATCTTGATAAAGAAATACAAAGTTGGCTGACATGTCCCAATTCCAAAACTTATTAAAAAGCTACAATAATCAAAACACAGTTGTATTAGCATAGAGACAGACACACAGACCAATGGAATAGAACAGAGAACCCAGAAGCAACAATGATATATTGTGCAGCACAGGGAAATATGCTATTATTTCATAATAACTGTTTTTTCTATGTTTGTTTATTTATTTATTTATTGGCGCCTAGAAGGGTTTATTGAAGGGCCAAGCAAGGAGAACTGGTGGCTTGTGCTCAAAATCCCCGAACTCCCTGATGGTTTTGGGGAAGAAGTTTTCACAGGCAAAATCTGGGGTGAAGGCTGCAGGCTGTGTGTCTTTCTTCTGATTGGTTGGTGGTGAGGTAACAGGGCTGTGTTCCAAGAATCTTGCACTAAGGCTCTGCTTTGTAATAACTTTAAATGGAATATAACTTAAAAAATATTGAATCACTATGCTGTACACCTGAAACTAATATAATCTTTTAAATCAACTGTAATTTAATTAAAAAAGGAACAGAAAGCCAAGAAATAAACTCTCACTTACATGGTCAAATGATTGTCACAAGGGTGCTGAGAACATTTAATGGGGAAAGAGCAATCTTTTCAACAAATTGTTCTTGGAAAACTGGGTATCCACATGCAAAAGAATGAAGTTTGACACCTACCTTATGATATATACAAAAAAATTAATTAAAAAAGGATAAAAGAACTAAACTTCAGAGCTAAGGAAGACAGTGGAGTAGGAAGACTCCGAGCTCGCCTCCTTCCTTGGGTGCATGAACATTACAACTATTTACAGAACAACTATGGAGGAGAGTGACCTGAAGATTAGCAGAAATGATCTTCTACAACTAAAGATATAAAGAAGAAACCACAATGAGATAAGAAAGAGGGCCAGAGACATGGTACAATCAAGATCCATACCCCATGGCAGGCAACTCACAAACTAGGAGGAAAATTGCAGTTGCAGAATCTCTCCCCAAAGAGAGAGGGGTCTGAGCCTCATATCATGATCCCCAGCCTAGGGGTCCTGCACCAGAAAGATGAGCCCCCAGAATGTTTGTCTTTGAAGGCCACTGGGGCTTGCTTTTGGGGGATCCAGGGGGCTATAGGAAATAAAGACTCTACTCTTACAGGGAAAACACAAAATATCACATGCTTTTGAGACCCAGGCAGAAGGAGTAATTTGAAAGAAGCCTGGGTCAGACCTCCTTACTAATCTTGGAGAGCCTCTTGGAGAGGCAGGAGGCAACTGGGACTCACCCTGGGGACACAGATGTTGGCAGCAGCCATTGTTAGGAGCTCATATCACAAGGGCTCTGGTGCTGGCAAGTGCCATTTTGGAATCCTCCTTCTAGCTTATTAGCACCCTGATCTGGCCTCTTCCTCCAACATGTGGGCACCAGTTCTGGTACACCCCAGGCCAAGCAGTTAGTGGAGTGTGGTAACAGCCCCACTCTCAAGCAGCCTGGCTGCCTTAGGATTCCTTATCTTCCCACTGCCCTGGGACCCATCCCTGACCACCAGAGGGCCCAGGACCTGGCCCAACACCGCAGTCAGACACCAGGACCCAGCTCTGCTCACCAGTGGGCCAGCACTAGACCTGGGACCCCATGGGCCAGCCTCACCCACCAGCAGGTCAACACCAACTCCAGGACCTTCAGAACCCAGTAGCCAGAGACCCCAGGTCTTGGCTCTGCCCACCAGTGGGACAGCACAAGCCCCAGAACTCCATGGGACCAAGCCCCACCCACCAGCAATCTGATACCAGCTCTAGGAACTTTGGGCTCCTCAGCTAGCTTCCGCAGGATCAGACCCCACCCACCAGTGGGCCAACACCAGCTCTAGGACACCCTGAACACTACAGGCAGCCAAGTTAGGAAATGGCTTCACTTACCAGCAGGCTGACACCAGCCCCAAGACTCCCGACCATACCTCCATGCACTAGTAGGCCAACACTTGCTCTAGGATCCCCAGCTCCACAGCCTGCTGCCCTATTATCTGGCTCAACCAACCAGTGGGCCAGTACTAACCCTAGTAGTAGTAAAATCATCTTTATCCACAATAAGTAGTTAAGGGATGCACAAAATAAAAATATGTAAAATATGATGTTGAAAACATTAAAAGTGGCAGGATGGAGTAAAACTACAGGGTTGTTAGAATGTATTCACATATAAGAAACAGGCAACTTCAAATAATCATATATATATATATATATATATAGCGGTATAAATAAACCTCCTGAAAACCATAAAACAAAAATCTATGACACACACACACAAAAGAGAAAGAAATCCAACCATAACACTAAAGATAACCATCAAATTACAAGGAAAGAGAGCAAAACAAGAAAGCAACAAAAATGACTATTAACTTAAGAGCTAAAACTAGAGAACTCTAAGAAGAAAATATGGAGGAAAAATTTCATGGTATTGGATCTGGCAGTGATTTTTTTTTGGATATGACACCAAAAGCAGTGCAACAAAAGAACAAATAGATAAATTGAATTCCATCAATATTAAAAACTTTTGTTTAACAATGGACACTTATCAATAGAGTGAAAAGGCAGGGTGAGTGACCAAAATGGCGGAGTAAAAGGATGCTCTTAGCTCACCCTCTCCCACAAATACACCAAAAGAGACATCCATGGACCCACCCACTGACTCAGAACACCTGCTGAACTTTGACAGAATATCGTCTTCTTCAAAAGACAAAATTTCTCACAAATCTTGTAAGAGAAAAACAGAAGAAGAAGAAGAAGAAGAAAAAGTAAATTAGTGCAGGACATGTCCTGCGGGGGGAGAACTGCAAAGGAGGAATAGCGCTCTTACACTGGGACACCCCCTCTCCAATGGAGAGGTCAGTTCGGATGGAGAGGGAACCTCCGAGGCTCGGATCTGTGCATAGCAGTCCTTGGCAGACAGAACTAAGTGAAACAGACACAAAGGGTCCCTGCAATCCTTAGCCCTAGATGTGAGCTGACAGGGGTGGACAGTACTGGCTGCCTGAGCCAGGCAGAGGACTGGGGCTGACTGCACAGAGGCAGCCTCAGGGGACTGAAGTGTGCTGTGTGCTGTGGCTAGGAGTGTATACAGAACAGAATAGACTGGGTTCCCCATAAAAAAAGAAAAGGAAGCAAGCTAACAAGCAACACTGCTGGTGCACATCGTGGGGAGTGACATAACACGGCAATGCAGCTGGGCTGTAGCCTTGTCTCCGCAGGCCCTTGGCACCATCTCTGGCACATTCTGGGGAGTAGAGATGCGGGGCTTGGCCATAGCCACATATCTGCTGGTATGCGGCTCCCAGGCAGAGGTGGGGCTGAAATCTGAATCTGTACCCAAGGACTCTGCAAATTCATAGGCAGGAATGAGATTTGTTTATAGCCCCAGGCAGAGGACACTGTTTTGTGGACCTGTGCCACAAATGAGACAAGAGGCAAACAACTGAGACAACTGAGCAAGAGGCAGAATTCTGGCACACAGTGAGGACGAGTGCTAATGCAGCAATTTTCTGCAAGCCCGACTGCCATGTGTAAATGTGGCGCTGGGAACAGTGCTGACCTGGTGATGTGACTATGCAGTCACTGCAGGGCTTGGGGCCCTGCTGGCATGGGCCTCTGGGATGAGCTAGCAGAGCTGGTGCAGTGGGGCCAGTGCAGGAGCAGCTTTTGGTACTGGGGAAGGCACTGATCTGATAGTGCACCATGATCTAGGTGTGCGACCCAGAGATTCGCGGAACTGCATTGGTAGCTCTGAGGACAGAGAACCTGGGGGACACCAGCAGTGCACTGACATTCCCGCAACTAAAGCAGAACAAGGGAAGAGTCAATGAAGAGTACTTAAAGCGCTCCAACCCCACCTACTATACACCATAGCTCAGAAACACACCTGGAAGCCTCCATCCCAACAAAAGGAGAACAGGTTGGGCCCCTGTCAGGGCTGTGACAACCGCAGAACAAAAAGCAGGCCCCGCTCAACAACCAGGGCAGGCTCTGATCACTACAACACCCACCACACCCCCAATCAAAAGGATAAGAGATAACACACATGGAAGAAAGACGTGGCAACCATCCAAACTGAAAACAGACCTCACAACAAAATTATTAGGGGAACACAGTCTACACAGGAACACATCTTCTTAAAAAAAATTCATTCAAGACCACATTAGATAACTGATATTCCATAATCCATAGTGCCAGAGAGATATAAGTAAAATGAAGAAGCAGAAGAGCTACTCCCCATTAAAGGAACAGGAGAAATTCCCTGAAAGAATGATCAAGAAGTAGATCTCGATAATCTATTAGATCATGACTTCAAAAAGGGAGTGATCAAAGCACTGAAATAAATAAAAGAGACTATGACAATAGACAGAGAATATTATAAGAAGGAAATTAAAACTATAAAGAGGAGTCAGTTAAAAACAGAAAACCCAATGGCTGAGATAAGAGCCAAGTTAAAGGCAGTCAAAAGCAAATTAGACAATGCAGAGGAACAAATAAGTGACTTAGAAGACAGGAAAACAGAAATCACCCAATTAGAACAGCACACATAAAAGCAAGTAAAAACTAATGAAAGCAATAAAAGGGACCTATGGGATAATATAAAGTGTGACAACCTACGCATAATAGGGATCCCAGAAGGAGAAGAAAGAGAAAAGAGGACTGAAAAAGTATTTGAAGAAATCATGACTGAAAACTTCCCAAACCTAAAGAAGGAAACAAATAGATATCCAAGTACAGGAAGCACAGAGGGTCCCCAACAAGAAGAACCCAAACACACCTACATCAAGACATATTATAATTAAGATGGCCAAACTTAAAGAAATGATTCTAAAGGTAGCAAGAGGAAAACAAATAGTTATAAGGGAACCCCCATAAGGCTTTCAGCTGATTTCTCTATACAAACACTGCAGGCTGGAAGGGAGTGGCAAGATATATTCAAAGTATATATTCTGAATGAGAAAAAGCTGCAACCTAAGGTACTCTATCTGGCAAGACTCTCCTTTAGAGTAGAAGGAGAGATAAAGAATTTCACTGACAAGTGAAAACTAAAGGAATTCAGCAATACTAAACCTATGCTAAAAGAAATTTTGAAAAGTCTACTCTAAATAGAAAAGAAGTAGGATGCTACAGAAAGGAGAAAACTGTAATTGGAAATGAGATAACTACAATGAGTTGCAACAGAATAAACATGAAGATGTAAAAGAGGATATCAAAATCATTAAAGGTGGGAGAAGGGAGCAAAAAAATATAGATTTTTTTCTTTTTTTTCTTTTTTTGATCTTTTTAGGATGTGTTTGAGCTTGTATGACTATCCATTTAAAGCAAACAGATATAGTAATGGGTTAATACACTCGAAAAAGAAGGTAACCACAATTCAAAAGCATGCGATCGAATCAAATAACCAAGAAGAAATCACAAAAAGAAAAAGAAAGGAACAAAGAGGAAATACCAAATCAACTAGAAAACTAAGTTCAAACTGGCAATAAACACACATCTGTCAAAAATTACCATAAATGTCAAAGGACTAAATGTTCTAATCAAAAGACAGAGTAGAAGATTGGATAATAAAACAAGAACCTACAATATGCTGCCTATAATGGCCAACAGGCTCATGAAAAATGCTCAGTATAGCTAATTATCAGAGAAATAAATGCCAACAAAACTACAATGAGGTATCATCTCACACTGTCAGAATGGCCATCATTCAAAAGTCCATAAACAGTAAATGCTGAGGAAGGTGTGGAGAAAAGGGAACTCTCTTACACTGCTGGTGGGAATGTAGTTTGATGCAGCCATTATGGAAAACAGTATGGAGATTCCTTGAAAAACTAAAAATAGATTTACCATATGATCCAGCAATCCCACTCCTGGGTATATCTCTTGAGGGAACTCTAAATTTGAAAAGATACATGCACCCCAGTGTTCATAACAGCACTATATACAACAACCAAGATATGGAAGCAACCTAAATGTCCATTGACAGATGACTGGATAAAGAAGGTGTGGTATATTTGCACAATGAAATACTACTCAGCCATAAAAAAGAATAAAATAATACTATCTGCAGCAACATAGATGGACCTAGAGATCGTCATTCTAAGTGAAGTAAGCCAGAAAGAGAAAGAGAAATACCATACAATATCACTCATGTGGAATATTAAAAAAAAAGTAAAAAGAAATAAAGGACACTATGAACTCATCTACAAAACAGAAACAGATTCGCAGACATAGTGAACAATCTTATGGTGTCTGGGGAAAGGAAGTGGGAAGGGATAAATTTGGAATTTTGAGATTTGCAAATGTTAGTCACTATATATAAAAATAGATTAAAATTAAGTATCTTCTGTATAGCATGGGGAACTAGATTCAATATCTTGTAATAGGCTTTAATGCAAAAGAATATGTAAATGAATATATGTATATGCATGACTAGGACATTGTGCTGTACACCAGAAACTGACACATTGTAACTGACTGTGCATTAATAAAAAACCTTAAAAATTAAAAAAATTTTTAAAAAGAAACTAGAAAAAAGGAAAAGGTAATCCTCTTAATGAAAGGAAACATCAGCAAATTATATATCTGATAATGGATTAATATTCAAAATACATAATGAACTTCTAAAAATTAAAAAAAAACCCAATTCAAAAATGAGCAAAAGACTTGAATGGATAGTTTCCAACGAAAGTATACAAAAGATCAATATGCACATAAAAAGATGAACAATCACTAATCATTATAGAAATGCAAATAAAAACCACAGTGAGATACTAGTTCATATATTTTGAGATGGCTATTACCAAAAAACAGGAAATAACAAGTCCTGGCAAATAGGTGAAGAAATTGCAACATTTGTGCATCACTGGAGGGAATGTAAAATGGTTCAACTGCTGTGGAAGACATTATTGTCGTTCCTCAAAAAAGTAAATCTAGAACTAATATTCTAGTCTTAGGTATATACCCACCCAAATGGAAAACAGGGACTCAGATACTTGAATGCCAATGTTCAGAGCAGCATTATTCAGAATAGTGAAATGGTGGAAACAAACCAAGAGTCTATCAACAAATGAATGGACAAAGGAGATGTGGTATGTACAATGGAATAATATTAAGTCATAAAAAGGAATAAACTTCTGATACTCGCTACAAAGTGGATGAACCTTGAAAACATTATGCTAAGTGAAATAAGCCAGAAATGATTCCAATTCTATGAGGTATCTAGAATAGTCAAATTCATAGACAAAGAAAATAGTGGTTAACAGGGCTAGGGGGAGGGGGAATAGAGAATTATTGTTTAATAGGTATGATGTTTCATTTTGAGATATGAACACCTTTTAGAGATAGATAGTAGTAATGGTTGCACAAAAATGTGAATGTAATTAAAGCTACTGAAATGTACATGTAAAATAGTCAAAATTGTCAAAAAACAAAATAATAGTTGATCTAGAAAAATTAAGAGACTAGCCTGAGCATTTCTGAAAGGGAAGTGTTTTGCCAGATATGAAAACATATCATAGTAATGCAGTAAAAAATTGATTTCGTGCCGGTACAGGAATGTACAGAGTTCAAGGGGACAGAAAGAAGACTAGAACACCTGTGAGTTTAATGTGTGATAAAAACTGACACTTCAACACAGTGGGAGAGAAGACAACTTATTCAACAAATGGTGCTACTTCAACTATTGGATAAAGATAGGTGGAGTGTGGGGGAACACAATCTCATTCCATAGACAATAATGAATTTGAGATAAATCAAGGATTTAATGCAATTATGCAATCACATGGTTGGAATGTTTATATAATTTCAGCATGGGGAAGCTTTTATAAGAAGGACACAGTACTCATAACCATTAGGGTAAAGATCAACATATCCAGTTACCTATTAATGTAAAACTTCTGTACATATAAATGACCACTGATAGGAGAAAAGTTAGATGAAATATGGTATATGTTAAAATCATCATTAAAAAAGATGAGAACAAATCTAAATACAACCCAATTCAAGACATTAAGTGGAAAAACTAAGTTACAGAAGAATATGAACAGCATGATGCTATTTTTGGTTAATAAAAAGACAAAATGCCAAAATATGTATATCTACAATATATAAGAATGCTGATGTATAGAAATAGATAAAAAGACATCCTGAACTATTAAGAGATTAACTTTGGTAATGGACCAGAGAAAGAGACAGAAAACTAATCTCTTATTCTGTGTGATTTTCTAATGTTTCAAACTTTACAAATTCATCTTAGTATACTACTTATATAATTAAAAGTTATAGAAAGTAATCTATATCCAATCGTACAAAATCTTAAAAGAAAACTGACTAGTAAAAATAAGGCAAAAAAAAAAAAACAAACCTAGAAGAAAAATTTACTCCATGTTTAAAGGGCTGAATTTAAAATGAGTTCTGATAAATCAACAAGAAAATATTTAGAAATCATATAAGAAAAATGAACAAAGGACAAAAATAAATGTATACTTCCCCAAATTCAGCTCCATTGATAATTAAAGAAATGCAAATTAGTACATGAGATCATTTTTCACCCATCACCTTATTAAGTTCTAAACAATATAAGCAGGATAAAGAGGTACTAAACCTGTAGAACTTGATACTGGAGTCGTAGGTGGACAAGAAGAAGGTTGAGAACCTGGAAAAATAAATTTGATTCAACTCACCAGCCTCATCAACACAAAATTATAAAATTAATTTTGATTTTTTTTATTTTTAGAAAAGATTATTTCTCAAAATGAAAAACATACATACTTTCCAAACTTTGCTACTCTACTTCTGGGAAGTTAACCTAAATATATATTTAACACAGGTACAAAAGAATGTATGCATAAGAATGTTCACTATGACTTTGTATACATAATGGAAATCCTAGAAGTTAATAACAAATCATAAAAATACTGTTTAGAATAAATATGAATCTTTTAAAAATACCATCCACATAGTATTATATTACATAATTTTCCACTCAGCATTTTTACTCATATTTTTTCATATTCACACAATCAGATCTACCTTATCACATTATATGTCGGAGATGATCCATTTCACAATCTTTCTCTAACTGATGATAAAAATGACAGTCTCATGAGGAATTTTGATTTTTGATATTTAAAAATAATCCCTGTAGTTTATCTTCTTTATAAACTTGTCCTCACAATCAATTCTCTTTTCTTTCAAACACTAAAATGTATCAGTGTTTTAGAAACCCTTTATGAAATGCTTGTAGTCAACTCTTTCAAAAAGCATATTAACATAGTATACACAGTGAATATTGCCACTAAGACCATGTAAGTAAAGATGGATGGGTCAATGAGTATAAATTTCATATGTAATCTTTATATATCATCCACCAAAACAACTCTTCCCCCAAAACTACATAGCACTCACTAAGGTACTCTAGGCAGCTACTGGGTACCAGCCTTACAGGAATTACAGGAAGAAGTTCTAATTACCATATTAACATGAATAATCCCCCTCAATCCTTTAAGATATTAGGACAATAGGAAATAGGCAAATAAATTAGAAGCCAGTAATGGAGCTTTGAGTTCCACACCTTCATTAAACAGGAAACTAGAGCCCACAGAAATGATGTTCCTTGACTGAGCAGAACCTCCCTAGCACCCTGAGCACCCTCTGCCCAGGCTCATGCTCTACCCATTCTTCCTCTTGTCTCTTGCTTCTGCTGCACTGAGGAGAAGCCAGAGGTGGCAGCCCTGAAATCAGGAAGATAATTCCTTCCACCATATCAAAATAGCCTCTCAAGACTTAAGCAGAACAGCTGATCAGTAGTTGCGGCCAGCAATCACCCACTTCATTTCAATAAATAAGGACTTTCCCTGCCTTTCAGTTGCTGTGAGATTTCCTTTCTGTTGCCAAATGAAAATGTCCAGGAGAGAGAAAAATAATAATATGAGGTGGCAGGAATGGGGTGAGTACAAATACCATTCTGTTCTGGAGACAGCAGAAATTTCCCAGTTAAAATGGTACTATATAAAAAGAACAAAACTTGTTGTTGTCTGGAAAATGAAACACAGTCCTGGACCCGGATGATACCCTGAAAAGGTATCAACAGATCACTTTTAAAATGAATAAAAATAGCAATGTTGATGACACAGAAAATACACATGTTAAAAAAAAAGAAGCCATGGACCTTCCTCTATACTAACACTAATTCAAGTGAAACCGTAAATCAGATGAGCCACCCTTAAGAGCTTTCTTGATGCTGCGCACTGGTCTACGTGCTTTAAATGAATCCCATTGTAACTTTACTATCACACAGTGAGGAAAGCATTAATTCATTATACATGTAAGTAAACACGTTTGAAGTGTACATAACTTGCCCAAGTTTGCACACTTGTTTATATCTGTGGACTATGGCGAATAATTTTAGAATCACTAAATATAACAACTAAAATGGCTATAAATATGTTCTTCCTCCTTTTATTATAAAAATGATGGATGAGTGTAAATCATCAGACATTTAAAGGTTTTGAAAAATCACAAAGAATTCAAAGGACATTGAAAAATATAAGCAGGACTTTGTGAAACCTGAAACACTGGAATATGGATGTTTTGTAGTGGCAGGAATCAATGCTGGAAAACAAAAAAAAAAAACGTGAATTTGTTAAAATATTTGGAATTTATTGCTTTCTTTTCATTTATATGAATTATGCCTTTTGTGCTTATTTAGGTAAACATGCACATACTTTAATTTATTCTGAAAAATGATTGCTATCCCCTTTACATGTAAAAACACTCAACAAGATACATTTATATGCCTGTGTGATGTAAATAGCCTATAAAAAAATAAAAACATCATGCCAGATTTCTTTGTTAATTTGAAGTCATGCATCTATCGTGGAAATGAATACAAGAAAGATAATTACTAAAGTTGTTGCTTTTCAATTAGTCTGTATCATTGATGTCTAATGTCAAAAAAATAAAAATCTTGAAAAAAAAAAACAAGAAGGAAAAAGATACTCTTTGTACCTTTAACACATGTTGGCAACTCAGGCTCCCAAGTACTGTCTGCGCCACAGACAATTCTGCTTTTGCCACGAAGGCTAAAACCCTTGTCACATTCAAATACAACTTCTGCTTTGTAGTAATATTTTGCTCTAAATCCTGATACCATGGTTCCATGATCGACAATTGGGTAGATACATTTGACCACTGAAGAGTGAAAAAATTCCAAAATTAATGGAAAGTTACTTTCACATAGCACAAAGCAGTAACTTCCAGTGGGAAGAAAGAGGCAAGAAATGAAAGGCAAGATGTTAACTGAAAAAACAAAAGACTTTATATTTGTGCATTTGATTTCCAAGCAAACAGATTTAGAGAAATCTAAGAACGTTTTTCCACCTAGAACAGACTGCCATTACAGTTTATTGGCTTTCCTAATTTTTTCCCCATTACTATAGAGTTTTGAGAAAGGTCTGACTACCAGATACAAATTCAGGTTAAATTCAAAAGCAACTTTTGATACCATTTAGCTCTGGGACTGTTTTTTTAAAGATCATGGTGACACTAGTTAGAGTTCCCTGATCTTTTAAAAAGGTAGTGAAGACTTTTTGGAGAAGGTAATACTTTAAATACTCAAACTTAAAAGTTGAAAAATCCAGCCATGCAAAATGTTTAGTCTTCAGGCTGATGTACTCTGGTATTCCCCACTCTACTCTACTTCTTCAGAAGTAAAACACAGGTCATGCCCTCTAGATTGACTTCAAGATTATGTTTTGCAGAATCTGGAAAAAAAAAAAAAAGAAACCAAAACCAAAAAGTGCTGGGCTGGGCAGGGAGTTCAGAGGACATCTTATGAGAGTAAATCTGAGAAATAACTGAGGGCCAGATAGCAGAAAGCCTTTTAAACCAGAAGTGTTCCTCCTCCTTTCCTGTGGATCTGAATTTCCATCAGGTATCATTTCTCTTCCACCAGAACTTCCTTATCAATTCATGTGTTCAGGTCAGCTTATCACAAGTTCTCTTAACTTTTGTTTATCTGAAACTGTTTTTATTTATTTCACCTTCAGCTGAAAGACTCCTCTTTGATAGGGAATTCTAGGTGCTTTATTCATTCCTGTTGTTGCATGGATTAAAAGCTCATTCATTTTTACTGCAGAGTGTTATATATTATATTGTATGGATATACCAAGGTTGTTCCTCCATTCACCAGTTGAAGGACATGTGGCTTGTTTCTGTAGTAGGATGACAATGACTAAGGATGCTATGAAAATTCTCATGCAGGTTTCTATATGTAAATGTTTTCATTTCACTGGAATTTCTGAGTAGTGCCTTAAATATATGCTTCACTCTATAAGAAATCGCCAAACTGTGTTCCAAAATGGTCATATTACTTTGCATTCTTATAGCAATGTATTAGAGTTCCAAATACTTAAACTTCATCAAAATGTGGTATTAGTTTTTCTTTTTAATTTCAGCCATTCGAATAGGCGTTTAGTGGTATCTCATTGTGTTGTTAAATTACATTTATGTTATTACTTACTAATGATATTGAAAATTTTCATATACTTTTTTGGCACCCACATATCTTCTTTGGTGAAATAAGTCTATTTGAATATGTTGTGAAAAGGTTTAAGTTGTCAAATTTATAGGCATAAAGTGGTTTGTTTTATTCTCATTTATTCTTAAAACGTCTTCAGGATATACAGTAATGCCCTCTTTTTCACTCTTAATATTGGTAACTTCTATCTTCTTTTTTCTGTCAGATTGTCTGTAGGTTTATCTTTTTTACCACCTTCTCCAAGAACCAGGTGTTTATTTCTTTAATTATCTCTATTTTGTTTCTTTTTCAATTTTATAAATTTTTCTCTGTATTATTCCCTTGTGTTTTCCTGTTTGGGGTCTAATTTGCTTTTCTTTTTTAGTATCTTAAGGGGGAAGCTTAGATTATTGATTTGAGATTTTTCTCTTTTTCTAATATATGCATTTCATACTACAGGTATCCTTCTAAACAATGCTGCTTTTGCTGTCCCACAATTTTGATATATTAATATGTTGTGTTTTCATTTTTATTTAATTCAAAACACTTCCTAATTTCCATGAGACTGCTTCTTTGAATCATGGGTTACTTGGAAGTGTCTTGCACACTTTTCAAATATTTGGATGTCTAACATATACCTTCTTTTGAGTTCTACATTCATTCTATTATGATCAGAAAATGTACTGGTAATAGTTTCAATTTTTTAGAAATGTGTTAAAATTACTACCTAAAATATGGTGTTAGAGAATGTTCCATGTACACTTGAAAGGAATAAATATTTTATTATTATTTTGTGGATCCTTCTTTAAGAGTCAAAGCCCCTTCAGTGTCTCCCTGCTTTTGATCACTGTGTAATCATTAGACATTGTTGTTTAAGTAAGTTTCGTCTAGAGTTTAACAATCTTATTCGTCTTTTACAATTTACCATTTCCTGTGCCCAGAACTTTCAGAGGTCTTGTAATACATGATAAAACTTTCTAATTTTTAAAGCCAGTATGTGCTGAGTTTTCTGATGCTTTCAAACAAACAAAAATCCTAACTCATACGTATTGCAGTAGTTCATGATGTGTAAATTGGAAAGTGAAGGACGTGGGGTGACAGGTGGGGAACTCTACAACTAGAACTATTTTTTATTTGATTTGGCCTATATTAGATTAACTTGGAAGTCAATTTAGCAGGAGGAGCAAGTACATATGGCTATTTCATTTACTTGTTGGTAAAACTATTTACAAAGTGTTTCCGCAGTATTTACACATGAAGAAGGGAATAAATGGAAATTATTACCTTTACACTGAGGAGCGTCACTACTCCATGTGTCACTCCCAACACAAACAAGCCTGCTCTCTCCAACAAGTGAGTATTCATCTGGTCCACTCGAAGGATCACAAATATAAGTTACTGCTTCATTATATTCAAAAATATCCTTGTGGCTATTGGTGTATCTTCCATTTTCTATTTCTGTAGGTCGTGAACACTTAATCTCTTGAAAAGGGGGGAAAAGGGCATAAGGTCAAGGGAAAAGATCGATGGTATTAGTGAAGTCTCATGAATTGCCTTTAAAAAATTTACTTACATATGATCTATAAGCTAGTTGTGAATCCAACATCCATTTAGAAGAAAGTCTCTATGTGAAAATGTATTATCCTAAGTTTAAATCGTTAATATAGAAATTAACTTTTAGAGTAAAACTTGTTTTCTTAAATACTTCTACAAAATATGAAATACATCTATTTACCTGCAAGGGTATGCTAAGTTTTGCTATCATCATAAAAGGTGCTGACAATATAATGCTAAAATACACTTGTGATTAAAAGCACAACTCAGTGCTAGTTGAGAAATGCTTTATGGTTTATAAATATCCACTCACTAAATTGGTAGTTCATTTTAGCACGAAGTATTACTGTCATTTTTCACTGCCATTCTTATAAGCATATGGTGAAATTTTCTAGAGGCTACAAATTGTGTGATTTTGCCGCAGAGTGAGTCCAGATATTAAAGAAAGTTGGAAAGCTGTAGAACAATGTCACTATTCTCACTTTTGGCTTTGGAAAATTTTGATTTTTTTATAAAAATATATTGCGTGTGTTAGCATGTATTAAGTTTACTCTTCTTAAAAATGAACTAATAAATAGTTATTTAAAAATCTTTTCAGTTTTAACTGCAGTATAATAAATATTAAGAGATATAACCCACATAAAGTAAAGTTCTTTGGTGTCTATGTTAATTTAAAAGCTTAAAGGGGTCCCCAGGCCAAAAAAAATCTGAGAACTTCTGCGCTATAGTTTAAAAAGAGAACATGCTTACTTTCACATATTGGGGGATTATCATTCCAGGCCACAGTATTTTCAGAAATTTCACAATGTAGAATTTTTTCTCCAATTATGTAAAAACTATATGAGAAAAGAAAAGTTACTATGTTCTTTAGCAAATGCAAGATACACTTAATAAGGAAAACATTTGTATATGGCTATTTTTCTGCACTATAGTAATTTGAGGGAGAAGTTTCTTTAAAAATATAAATGGAAGTGCTAAATTTGCAACTTAATCAAATAAAGAGATTCTGCATGTGAATACACATTGGCCTACAGCAAGATATCCAAATTGCTCTGTAATGCCTGTCAGTCTGGCCCTCTTTGCTGTCTCAGGCAAACGCATCACACATTCACTTCTGTGCTTTTGCTCACACCATTCTGCTCAGTGGGGACTGAGTAGAGAGATCAGGCCCTAGAGCTTGCCTGCCTGCATCCAGGTTCCAGCTCTGAGACTCACTTCTTATTTGAACTTGGATGAGTCCCTTAATGTTTCTTTTGCTCGGTTTCCTCATCTATGAAAAGGAGAATAATAGTACATACCTCATGTGACTGTTTTGAGGACTGGGTAAGTTAGCACCTGGCACATAGTGAGTACTAGGTAAATTTAAGCTCTTATTAATACTCTTTAGATCAGGATACAGGCATATCTGATCTTATTGTTCTTCACTTTATTAAATTTCTAACAAACTGAAGTTTTGTGGCAGTCCTGCACTGAACAAGTCAATTGGCACCATTTTTCCAACAATGTTTGCTCACTTTGTGTTGCTGTGTCACATTTTGGTAAATCTTACATATTTCAAGACCTAAACAGACCTGAAGAATATGATGATTGAAATAAAAAATAAACTAGAAGGATTCAACAGCAGATTAGATAATACTGAATAATGGATTAGCAACTGGGAGACAGAATAGTGAAAATCACTCAAGCTGATTAGAAAAAAAAAGAATTTGAAAATGTGAGGATGGTTTAAGAGACCTCTGGGACAATAAAAAAAGTATACTAAATAATTCACATGATAGACACCCCAGAAAAAGAAGAAAGAGAGAAAGGAGCAGGGAACTTATTTTTAAAAAGAGTAGCTGAAAACTTCCCTAACCTGGAAAACATGGCATGAGACTAGAAATCAACTAGAAACAGAAACACATGGAGGCTAAACAATGTGCTACTAAACAACCAATGGGTCACTAATGTAATCAAAGAAGAAATTAAAAAAAAAACCTGGAGACAAATGAAACAAAAACACAATGATCCGAAATCTATGGGACACACCAAAGGCATTTCTATGAGGATAGTTTATAGCAATACAGTCTTACCTCAGGAAGTAAGAAAAATCTCAATTAAACAACATAATCTTACACCTAATGAAACTAGAAAAAGAACAAAGAAAACCCAAAGTTAGTAGAAGGAAAGAAATCATAAAGATCAAGGCAGAAATAAATGAGACTAAAACAAATAGAAATGATCAATGAAACAAAGAGCTGGTACTTTGAAAAGATAAGCAAAAGTGATAAACCTTTAGCCAGACTCATCAAAAAAAAAAAAAAGGACCCAAATCAAGATAATCTGAAGTCAAAAATGAGAACTTACAACCAACATCCCAGAAATACAAAGGATCATAAAAGATTTCTATGAAAACTATATGGCAATAAAATGAATAACCTAGAAGAAATGCTCAAATTCCTAGAAATGTAAATCTCCTAAGATTGAACAAGGAAGAAATAGAAAATACAAATTGACCAAATATCAGTAATTAAATTAAATTACTAATAAAAATACTCTCAATAAACAAAATTCCAGAATCAGATGGCTTCACACAGGGGAGTTCAAGCAAATATTTAGAGAAGAGTTGACATCTATCCTTCTCAAACTATATTTCACAGCACAGGGAATATTGCCAATATTTTATGATAACTATAAATGGAGTATCATCTATTAAAATTTTGATTCACTATGTTGTACATCTGAAACTAATATAATATTGTAAATCAACTATAACTCATTTAAAAAAAAAGAGTTAACACCTATCTGTATCAAACTATTCCAAAACATTGAAGTGGAAGGAATGCTTCCAAAGCATTTTACAAGACTAGCATTACCCTGATACTAAAAACCATACAAAGATGCCACAACAAAAGAAAATTACAGACCAACATCCTTATGAACATAGATGCAAAAATCCTTAACAAAATACTAGCAAACAAATTAAAAATATTTGAAAAGTATCATACACCACAAGCAAGTGAGATTTATCCTAGGGATGCATGAATGGTTCAATATTGCAAATCAATGTGATATAACATTAACAAGTTAAAGGGTAAAAATCACAGATTATCACACAGATTGCAGAGAAAGCTTTTCAACAAACTCGACTTTTATTTATGATGAAAATTCTCAACAATGTGAATATAGAGGGAATATACCTTAACATAATAAAGGCCATATATGACAAGCTTACAGCTAATATCATAACCACCAGTAAGAATATGAAAACTTTTCCTCTAAGAAAGGAACAAGGCAGGGATTCACACTCTTGCCACTTTTATTCAACATAGTATTAGAAGCCATTGCCACAGCCATCAAACAAGAAAAAGACATAAAAGGAATCCATATTGGAAAGGAGGAACTAAAACTGCCATACAGAAAATCCTAAAGATGCTGTCAAAACTCCCAGAACTAAAAAATAAATTCAGTAAAGTTGCAGGATACAAAATTAATATACAGAAGTTGGTTGTGTTTCTATATACTAACAATAAACAATCAGCAAGATAAATTAATAAAACAATTCCATTTATAACTGCATCAAAAGAATAAAGCACACAGGAATAAACCTAACCAAGGAGGTAAAGGACCTGTACTTAGAAAACTACACACTGTGATGAGAGAAATTGAAGATGACAGAAAAAAATGGAATGGTATACCACACTCATGAATTAGAAGAATAAATATTGTTAAAATGGCCATATTCCCCAAGACAATCTACAGATTCACTGCAATTCCTATTAAAATACTAACGGCATTTTTCACAGCATTGGAACGAATTCTAAAATTTGTATGAAAACATGATAAACTCCAGGTAACCAAAATAATCTTGAGAAAGAACAAAGCTGGAGGTATAACACTCCCTTATTTCAAAGCACACTTTGAAGCTACAGTAATCAAAACAACGTGTTATAAAAACCAAACACACAGATCAATGAAACAGAATAGAGAGACCAGAAATATACCCATGCTTATATGGTCAATCTAGGGCAAAAGAGGCAAGAATATACAATGGGGCAAAGATAATCTCTTGAATAAATAGTTCTGGGAAAAATGGATAGATACATGCAAAAGAATCAAACTGGACTACTTTCTTAAACCATAAGCAAAAATAAAATACAAATAGATTGAAGGCTTAAATATAAGACTGAAACTGTACAACTTTTGGCAGAAAACACAGGTAATATGTTCTTTGATACCAGTCTTAGAAATATTTTTTCAGATATGTCTCCTCTGTAAGGGAAGCAAAAGCAAACATAAACAAATGGGACTACCTCAGACTAAACATTTTCACACAGCAAAGGAAATTATCAACAAATGAACTGGGAGAAGATATTTCTAAATGATATATCTAATAGAATGCTATATTCAAAATATACAACTTATACAACTCAACATAAAAAAATGGGCAGAGCATTTTTTCATGTGCTTTTGGATCATTTGTATGTCTTCCTTGGAGAATTGCTTGTTTAGGTCTTCCGCCCATTTTTGGATTGGGTTGTTTATTTTTTTCTTATTGAGTCGTATGAGCTGCTTATATATTCTGAAGATCAAGCCTTCGTCGGTTTCACTTGCAAAAATTTTCTCCCATTCCGTAGGTTTTCTTCTTGTTTTACTTCTGGTTTCCTTTGCTGTGCAGAAGCTTGTAAGTTTCATTAGGTCCCATTTGTTTATTCTTGCTTTTATTTCTTCTAGGAGAAACTTTTTGAAATGTATGTCAGATAATGTTTTGCCTATGTTTTCCTCTAGGAGGTTTATTGTATCTTGTCTTGTTTAAGTCTTTAATCCATTTTGAGTTGATTTTTGTATATGGTGTAAGAGAGTGTTCTAGCTTCATTGTTTTTCATGCTGCTGTCCAGTTTTCCCAACACCATTTGCTGAAGAGACTGTCTTTATTCCATTGTATATTCTTGCCTCCTTTGTCGAAGATGAGTTGACCAAAAGTTTGTGGAGAGGCTGTGGAGAAAGGGGAACCCTCCTACACTGCTGGTGGGAATGCAGTTTGGTGCAGCCACTATGGAAAACAGTGTGGAGATTCCTCAAAAGACTAAGAATAGACTTACCATATGACCCAGGAATCCCACTCCTGGGCTTGTATCCAGAAGGAACCCTACTTCAGGATGACACCTGCACCCCAGTGTTCATAGCAGCACTATTTACAATAGCCAAGACATGGAAACAGCCTAAATGTCCATCAACAGGTGACTGGATAAAGAAGATGTAGTATATTTATACAATGGAATACTACTCAGCCATAAAAACCGACAACATAATGCCATTTGCAGCAACATGGATGCTCCTGGGGAATGTCATTCTAAGTGAAGTAAGCCAGAAAGAGAAAGAAAAATACCATATGAGATCA